CGCAAATCTACCTTCAAATCACGTCTCGAAAATCTAGCATAAAATCTCAACCCGAAAATCCACCATAAAATCTCGTCTCGTACAAACCCCCCATTCGAAACTCCCCCCCGCAGAGATCCTGGGTCAGGGCCACGCAGTCTGGCCGTCTCCGAGCGGGGACTACGTCGCTGCCGTGTCCATCAACAACACCGGCGTGAGAGAGCTGCCGGTCCTCGTGTACGCCGACAACGTGTACCCGACGGTGCAGACGCTACGGTATCCCACGGTAAGGAGGTGGTGTTTGCTGGGAGTGTAAGTAAAAGGTGGTGTGTGGGGTGTATGTACGTGTATATATGCGTATAGTGTCGTTATTGTTAGATTACTTGATATAATCGGGTATGTTATGTGATACATGAGACAAACCATCATAAAAGGACATTCTAAGTCGCCTTTTGCAGCAAACTGTTGAATGAATTACAACATCTACTAACCGGTGAAGCCAAACTGACCTCTCACCCTCGCCCACCCTAGGTCAGCACGCCCATCCCGGAGGCGTGGCTGTGGATCTACGACCTTCAGAGCAAGCAAGTTCCTCCGCCAAGAACGAGACTCATTCCACCCGAGCCGATTGAAGAGTACGTTCTGTTTACACTCTATTAAGCTATTTTGAAGTCTAAGGTTCATTACATCTGAGGTCTTTAGGTGATGCCCAGTATGAGGTTGACGGGATGACTGATATCATTGAGGGCTTAATGATGCTGCAGATCAAATCATTTACACCACACATATATATGAGTCTTGCAGTAACAAAGTATCGCACTGAGTTGGAAGCAATAACTATTTACCTTTTTCGACGTCAGTGAGGGAGGTGTTATCGCAGAGGCGAGGTCGGAATCGGAAAGCGAAGATACCAAGACTTTGTTGGGGCAAACAAACAAACAAACAGACTTTGAAATCTGGAAAGGTAGTGTCGTCAGTGTCCCCTTTTCCCTCAGTGTTGTTGTTGTTGTTGTCGTTATTGTTGCCATCGATGTGTCTATCTGTTTTTTGTTTTTTTTTAATTCACGTTGCTGTGGTTATGGATGTACTTTTTTCGATGTTCTCTGTTGTGGATGATTCCGATGTTCACCCACCCCCTCCCCCCCAAAAAAAAAAAAAATCTTGTAGTTGTTGCCGTTGTTCTTGTTATTGTTATTATTGTTGTCGTTGTTGTTGTTGTTGCAGTTGATGACTGTACTTGTAGGTGCTTTCGCCGGTGTCTTTGTCGTAAGGTCGGCATGATAGTTTTTTTCCCCTATAAAACTAAGAACTCGATCTTTTTTTTTTAAGATTATTAAAAAAAATAAAATAAAAAATACTGTTGACAGATAAAGCGTACGTTACCCTTCACTAAACACTTTCCGAAATACGTGTTATTCCTGAGTCTCAGTCACAAGTGCAATTATTTTATAGATTATTGTCATTGTTAAATATTTGAATTTCTTAACTAATTGGTATCGTTATTCTACTTTTAATATTTTTGTTATTGTTGTCATCATCTTCGTCATCTTCGTCGTCTTCGTCATCTTATCATTATCACTACCATTCTTAGTGTTTTTATTATCATTTTTATTTTTTATTATTATTATTGTTACTATTATCATTATCACCATCATCATCATCATCATTATTATCATAATTATTGTTATTGTAACTATTACCATTTTTATCATTATTGACATTATTATTACTATTTTTATTATCTTTACTGATATTATCATTATCATTGCTATTACTATTATCGTTGTTTTTTGTAATTGTTGTTATTGTTATTATTGTTATTATTATCGTTATTATTGCTATCATTATTATTATTATTATTATCATTATTATTATTATTATCATTATTATTATTATTATTGTTATTATTATTATTATCATTATTATTATTGATATTATTATTATTATAGTTGTTGTTGTTGCTGTTGTTGTCATTGCTTTTTTGTTGTTGTTTTTATTTTTATTATCACCATCATCATTGTTTTCATGATTATTATGATTAATATTATTGCTATTATAATTATTATCATTATTATCATCATCGTTTTTATTGTTGATATTTTAATTATTATCATTATTATCATCATTTTTATTGTTACTATTATTATCCTTTTATTGCCATTATTAGCATTATCATTGTTATTATTATTGCTGTTGTTATTATTATCATCACCATCATCATCATTATTAGCATTATCGTTATGCCCATTATTTATTAATATTATTATTATTATTATTATTATTATTATTATTATTATTATTATTATTATCATTATTATTATTATTATTATTATTATTATTATTATTATCATCATTATTATTATTATTATTATTATTATTATTATTATTATTATTATCATTATTATTATTATTATTATTATTATTATTATTATTATTATCATTATTATTATTATTATTATTATTATCATTATTATTATTATTATCATTATTATTATTATTATTATTATTATCATTATTATTATTATTATTATTATTATTATTATTATTATTATTATTATTATTATTATTATTATTATTATCATTATTATTATTATTATCATTATTATTATTATTATCATTACCATCATCATCACTAGCAGAAGCAGTAAAAGTAGTAACAGTAGTACTAGTATCATTATTATCATCATCATTATCATTATCTACTACTACTGTTATCCATATTGCTATCACTATCGTTCCTTTTGTGATTATTATTACATCTGTCATCAACACTGTTATTGCTTTTGTATAGTTTTGATATAGTCATTATTATTTATCATCATCTTCATTTTTATTTAGCATTTGCCTTCAATCATTTCTCAATATCTTCCTTTTTAATCTTTAGTCTAGTCCTTTTATTCATTTTTACGTTAATTTTCAAACTGTTTTTTTTGGGTTGCTCTATATCAGATAATCATGTTGAAATTAATTAGCATGAGGAAATTACTGGTAATTAATATCTTTATCACGGTTCTGTGTTGGTACCGAATCTTTGTTGCAAGCCTGGTGTTTTTATGCAACTTTTCCCTTTCGTCCATGAAGTCTGTTGAAGTCTCATTGTGTTGAATTTTTTTTTTCTTTCTTTATTATAATTTTTTTTGCAATTTTTTCCTCATCCATCTTTTTGGTGTTATTTTTTTTCTTTTTCTTTTTTGGTGTTTTCCTTGAATATCTATATGATGTAAAATATCTGATATCATTATCATTAGTATTTATTATCTTTTTCTTCATTACGAAAATGATTATCCTCCATTCGTGTGATGTGTTTGCAAAGAGACTAGGATTACTTTCATTTTATTCAAAAGAGGATAAATAGGCTCATCTATTCTTAATATTATCTCTTGATGATATCTCCTGGGGAAAGTAACTGAATTCACTAGAAAAATTGTTCTATATGCTATTGCTAAATTACTTTCCTGTCGATGCGAGAGATAAGCTATTATTTTGATCTAAGATATATTGATATAGATCCTTTCCAATCCACGAGACAGCTGTAAAAAATTAGGCTACATATTATAGTTAAAACCTAGCCAGCCCACAAAAAACAAAATGATGTTATCAAAAATGCATTTCACCCTTAACTCAAAAAGACCTAAAGATTCATAATTTACTAACAATACCAAGTAACCCAGACAAGCAGCGTGGACACTTGTAGTACATAAATCTTCGTCAATCAAACAACCGAACAAACACAGATTTCCTACATGTCAAAACGAGTCTCAGACGTGAATCTGGAGTGAGCAAACGCGGCCGGAACAATATCACTTCCGCGCAGTCCCTCCAAGAGACTCAGGAAAACTTTTATTGTGAGAGTGTTTCTTGTCACGAAAAGTCTGCTTTGGAGAAGATTGTAAAAAAAAAAAAAAGACACTGAATATCCGGCCATGTCTCTGTCTCTTGCATATTCTAAAATTGTGTCATCTTAATTCTTCTTTTCTATCAAGAGTTTATAATACATTCATGGCCAGTATGTCCATGAGGAACATAAACTCTTCCTAAAAATGTAAGACTATATTAAACCACTGGCTTATCCCTTGCTCCCCCTCCCCTCTCTCTCTCTCTTCCCTCACCATCCCCTCCCCTCCTCCTTCTTTATCTCCCCCCTCCCTCCCTTTCTGTCTGTCCATTTTTATCATTCCAAGAGCATTCAGTGATGCCTCTGTCACCCACGAAACACTTTGGTTGATGACATTTAGTCCAAAAATTCAAAAGATAAATTCGAACGTGTATCTGTAAGACTTTTATTTGTAGGTTATTGACACGTTGTTAATGCAATGCCCAGGCGAAACTCACAGAATTGAACTGCTGCTTTTTCGTGATTTTTCGGTCTAAGGAAGATCCCCTTACTTTATTTTTTCTTATATGTTTATATTTTTTTCTTTACATTTCGTTTTCCTTCTATTCTTCTACGTAAATCACCCGATTTATTATTTTTTTCTTCTAAGAAATGTATAAATAATTTGGTTTCGATTGTCTCTCCCTCGATCTAATGAAAAATATATTAAGAGAATTGATTTTCCTTCCATTTATCAATTTCGTTATTTTCTAGTCTCCTCTCTTGATCGCAAAATAAGATGAGAAAGATTCTTAATCGAAGTGTTTTTATTTCATTCTGTTTCGTTCTGTTATTCTGTTTTACTCTTTCTACTCTATGTTATTAATTCTTTTTGCAGTTTCAATGTATTTTTTTTTCCGTAAGACTTCCCCAGAAAGCGAAGAGTCTGTCAAAGGAAGAGAAAAGCAAACTGGACTTTTAACCGTTATTTTCTTCACTATTCCTCGCCCTTTTTTTCTTCTCTTACTTCCCCGTTTATCTCTCTTCTTTTCTTTTTCTTCCTCTCTTTCTTTCTTCCTCTTATTTCCTATCACCCTCTTCTTTTCCCCGTTTGTGTTTCTCTCTTCTTTTCTTTCTCTCTCCTTCTCTCCTGCATTTTTTCTTTCGCGCTTGCAGTTTTTCCCCGTCTCCTCTTCCCCTATTCCAT